GCAAGTTACTGTTTACAAGATACCAAAAAACCCTTGTCCTTCCTTGTTTTTTTTAACCTTTGAAATGCATGAGAATTTGCCAGGTAAAAATGAGAGCGTATGGACAGGAGGAAAGAACTAGTAAGTTGTTCACAGCAGATATATAGTTTGATTAGGTGTTCTCTTGAAATTTCTTTTTTCTTTTTTTTTCTCATGATTCCATGAAATGATCTTCCCAGGTGAATGACTGGGGGCTAAGTCATCCCATCAGTGTTAACTAACAACAAACGTTTGCTGATAATTAACACCGTTTTGTCCATCTCCTCCCAGCACCCATCTAGGCTACTGCAGATCACTTAATTAGCACTGTCCATTGAGGAACGAGTTCATCATTTTCCCCCGGGATTCTTTTTCCCAAAGATTATTTTACCAATGAATTATTCATTTACAGTCTTGAGTGCAAAATCACCTTCTCTGCTTTGCCACACAGAGCACAATTTGTGGGAGACAGTAAGTGTTTCATACACAGCTCCAGGAATGCTGAAATCCTCACCTTTAAATACATCCATCTGAACTCATCCGGACGTTGAAGCAAGTGCCAGTGCTCTTGTGAAATGGAGAAGAATTTAAGGGTGATCATTACCTCATCTAAATTTACCCGTATGAAACTCGAGTGTTTTCTATATACAAGTCCTCTAGATTCCATCTGAGGTCAGTGGAGAGACAGAGACCCACAGAAGGCAATTTATGTTATTCCAAGAGACATGAGGTGAATCGTACCTTGGAGATACCTCTCTTTATCCAGCAAGTACTAAGGGCAATTCACTTAAACTAGGCACCTAATTTTTGAATGGGGAAAGAGAAGCCACTCTTTAAATTATCAGGTATGAAAATATAATTACTACTGTACTTCTATGTGCTTTAATTATAGCTGTATAATTAAATATAATCTTTAGAGCTGTAATATTGGTTCAGTATTGACTCAGTGGGTACTATGGCACTTACAGAGCCATCCACGTTTAGTGATAAGAGAAAAAACAACATAATAGCATCTAGTAGGGTTTGTATCCAGCACGGGTAAGAAAATAATCTTCCCTCTTTCAGGTTTTTTTGGTGGGTCGTCCTCCCCCTCCCCCCGATTCTCCATGACTTTGTAATCAGTTTTTGTTGACTGCTTGTCATTCAGCCTGATTGTCAAACCAATTCTGTTCAGCCCTTGTGCAGGATATACACTCAATCAAAAGTTTTCGCTATCCAGTTATCAGTGAAGCTTGCAGCCTGCAGGCAAAATACTTTTATGTTATTTATTGTGCATCAGCAGATGGCTGATATATTGTTATCTTCTGATATAACTGCAGGAAGCCTGCTGCTCATACAGCGCCTGTCCGAATTTCCATTAGGACCCCTCCTTTTCGGTGGCCTTTAATCTACACCCCCTACGTACCCTTAAGCTACAGTGTGCTGACACATGGTAACATAACATAACACTTTTCTCTCTCTCCCTGCCTCTTTCGGACGCAATGCTCAGAGATATCGCTAGTTTGATACTATGGAGAGTGGTGCCATGTACATCTACAGCATAGAAAATCTCCCCCACCGCCAACCTGTTTGCACACCTCTGCCATGGGCCTTTAACTATTCTTTATTTCAAGGGATGTCTCTGATGCTTCTATTTATATCCTACACAAATATGGTGCCGTTTCGCTTTTACTGATGAAATTTCTTTTCCATGGTGCTATCATTTCTGAAGTAATTAAGGCTAGGAGGGCTCTTGAGAAATCATTTAACCCATCTTCCTCCTCAAAGACAAGGCTAGCTCAATACGATCTATTCCAGCACTTAACTAACCTGTTACCTGTTAATGGGAAAGGCTATTTTATTTTTTTAAACAAAAAGCAATATATATTTTAGAAAAATAAAAAAAATATAGAAAATTAAAAGCTCTACTATAACTAGAGCTATGTAAAATAAAGGCCTGCAATAATATTTTTAAATTATTCGCCTAGGATTTCCAGACCTGTTCGCGTACTGTACTTCACATTTGACCTGTAGCAGGGTGATAGTATGATCCTAGGGGAGGAGTAGTCAGCCCAGTGTAAACATATGTCCTGCTTGCTTTACCTCCTTACAGGATCACTAACAAAAGTGACAGCTGTTACCTCTCGTAGTGCTGGGTTTGAGGGGTTTTTGGACATCTGTTCAGTAGGAACAACACCAAGATTCATAATTCATTAGATAAACAAATAAACATTTAATCTGGAGTAGTTTAAATCTCTACAGATCTGGCTGGATTTGCACTAGTGACTCCAAGGTGGAAATATCTACATCCATAATCACTCTCCTGGGTGAATCAGCATGAGTTTTCACTATCATTGCTGCTAATTTTAATTAGCCAAGTACGTTTGCTTCAATGAGGGTTTAATGAAAAAAGTCACATTTTATGATGGTTCTTTAAATAAAGGGTTATTAGATAACTAAAATGTTTCTAAGACAGCTAATCACATTTTATAGATTGTTATAGTATCCTCTGGCTGCTGTTATGTTTCTAGAATATGTAACTAGGCTAGGCACTGACACTAATAGTTATTAATAGCACATTCATTCTTAATACAGCAAAATTTTTATATGACCATAAATCATTTTTACAAACAATAGCAATAACTTTAAATTATACTTTTTAAAAGTTTGTCCTATGAAGCACTGAATCACCTGTAGGTACAGCTGCTTGTATAACAACAGGCAAACTATATAATGTGTTAATCTTCAAGAAGGGGTAGGAGTTATGTCACTTGGCTTTGGATATCTAAAAGTTATATGTGTAAGTCTGAACTGATCACATGGATTTCTGGTTCAGTAAATGGAAAGCAATGGGTACTTGTAGATGTTTCCTCTGACCTATCTCAAGTGCTTATTTTGAGATGAATGAAGTCACTGGAGGGGGCTGTTTGTTTTAAGAATTTCAGAAAGGAATTTGGCTGCCTTGACTTGGATGTCTGATTTCCATATGCAGTAAAATGAAAAAAAAAAAACCAACAACCCCCCCCCAAAAAAAAAACCCACTACAATTTCAGAAAGGAATTTGGCTGCCTTGACTTGGATGTCTGATTTCCATATGCAGTAAAATGAAAAAAAAAAACCAACAACTCCCCCCCCAAAAAAAACCCCACTACAAAATAAAAATTAACCAACTACACTGTCATCTGGAGACATGCTTTGCTGAAAAAATTATCTATGGCTTTAGCTAAAAATTTAGCTAAATGGCTATTGCTGGTTTTAATTTGAAAATATACTCTGCTCTAACCTTCACTGCAATTGAACTGAGGAGTAACATTTGAACTGCTGTCAACGTTATACAGAAAGCCTAATGTTAAATCCCATGTTGTGTGGTTGGTGACCCTTCCCTGTAAAATTTCATTTCATCTCTCCGCTCCTCCAAAATCACCAGAATTTTTCATTTCCTTTCAGATGCAGACTGTGAACAAAAAGATCGTTCTCAAAATGTCTCCACATGAAAAAAACATATTAGCTCCCGAGTCTTTTCTAATCTAATAGGTTAAGGATTTACAGTGGCTTTCCTTCTAGAGGGTTCCTAAATATTAATTTCTTTTCCTCTTCAACATTCATTTCTTTGATTGATATCCATCAATTCACAATTTTCACTGCGAACTATAACTTCCATTATGTTGCTGTTGTATATTATTCTTTCTGCAGTGCCTTCCCACTACCGCCTTCAGAGACAACCACTCTAGAACAGCATATATTTAAGGCATTCTAAGGTATCTTTGCAAAGGAAGCAAAAAAGAAAAGTGTGTCAAGCTGTGATGTTGCATTTCAGTATGACATAACAAGACCTAGAGATGGCCTCAACATAGTTATCTGCACTCCCAGCTGGAAATTTTTTTCTGTTTTGTTGTTCTTCCCTTTTTTTTCCAGACAGAGGTGATACTGCCTGGTAGTGGAAATCTACAGAAGCCAAGTCTGTGCTTTTCTTTCTTT